GGCATCTTGAGCATCGACCTTCGCAACTGGGATACGATGACATGTGTCAACCAAGTCAGCGAGCCTGTGATACATTAAGATGTGGAGAGTTGGAACATACCAGTGCTACTTTGCAGAGCATTATCATGCATTGCATCGCTATTCTTGCTTGTCCAGCAAACTATAGGGTGGGAAGTCAGATATGGCATGTTACGGTGATTCGAACCACAGCTTCCGTCTTATCTGCTGTCAGTGATTTAGGCAGTAGAATGCCTGTTTGAGTCTACGCCCTCTGGTTTAATGTCGACATTTTCTTCCATCCCATGATGTGACTAAACGAGCTTCACTGCTCTCATTACGATATCAACCAAGCCGTGACAACCCGTTACTATTTGCAAACACCTGGTGTCATCCATGGGCGGATCCAGTCATTTTGAAAGGAGGGGGTTCAGGGATTTTGAAGCCCCTACACCCCCAACCCCACCCCACCCTTGGCAAAAAACGCAAAACAAATTCTTCAATGTGATCTGAAGTCATTTTCGGGGGGGGGGGTCCGAACCCCTCCTCTGGATCCGCCACTGCATCACTTAAAGTGATCCATATAATTCTCATCGTTATTGCCAAATGGATTCTGTTTCGGCAGATAAACGAGACTGGTTGTTCTCTGACGTTGACGTTTCGTTTACCAGCCCTTTATAAGAACAACTGCCATAACTCGAACAGTTTCACTGATCATATCACCCATTTAAAACTCATTGAATGCAAGCGGGCTAACATTTGGATTCAAAATAAAAAATGAATGCTTGAGGAAGCCCCCTTCTCCTGAATCTATACTGAAGCGTTCGATCGTAGAGAGGATTTTACGGCCACATCTATGGTTTGGTTCAAGTGTATAGCAATGGTGACGTCATTTGTTGGGGACAATAAGTGATGTTCGTCCAGTCAGTAAAAATTACAGGAGATCTATGACCTTTGAAAGATTTGACAACTTGAATAATGTGCAGTGAGCAGGTGCTTGTAGAATAAGAGCTGAACAACAAAAGCCGTCCATAAAGACGTTCAACACTTGAAAATGGTGGCACTTCCTCTGCCACAGAGATCTGTGCATGAAGAGATCCAGTGAATCCACGATATTGTAATTGTATTGACCGACCGGATGGACGTCTTCTGCCCAAACGGAACAGTACGAATTAAAGAATCACGGGTATTTCATATATGAATCTATACACTTCTTCTTTGTCCACAAGACACGATTTCCCGATCATACGAATCCGTGGAAGCGGGGTTCGACTGTAATTCATTCTACGATTATTATCTTTATCTGTAATGGTTTCCTGTGCAAATGCATTATTGTGTCTAGGAAGGAGGATTAAGTACTTGTGATTGCCGTGCATCGCTTATTATGTATAATTATGCTGCCACAGCACCTAGAGCACGCGAGATACCCGAAACTCGTGCTTGTGATTCCAGTGATGAATGTGTGTTTGCAGGTATATATGTGACCACATTTCAAAGCAGCCCGGCAACAACCAAGGTGCTTCATGATGCCAACTTTGACGGCGAACAGTTCGCTGTTGTGTTGCGTGATCATTATCATGTCATCATCAAATCATGTCGATATAGTCACATCAACATCTTCCGCCAAGCCTCTTATGGCGACGTCGTCGGCAAACCTGGTCCCTGCCACAACGGTCGCCCCTACAGCCGTCCCTGCTACAACGCCGTCTGCTAACCTGTTCCCCACTACGACGACGTCTGCTACCCTGATCCCCACGACGACGCCATCTGCTACCCTGGTGCCCACTACAACGCCGTCTGCTACCCTGGTCCCTGCCACAACGATCGCCGTTATAGCCGTCCCTGCTTCAACGTCGTCTGCTACCCTGGTGCCCACTACAACGCCGTCTGCTACCCTGGTCTTCACTACAACGCCGTCTGCTACCCTGATCCCCACTACGACGCCGTCTGCTACCCTGGTTTCCACTACGACGCCGTCTGCTATCCTGGTGCCCACTACAACGCCGTCTGCTACCCTGGTCCCGACTGTAACGGTCCCTACAACCCGATATACCAGCAGACACATGTCTGAAACACCAGCCCCGACTACAGCACTGCCTTATGTCACTGCTCTAACCATCACAATGTACGTCCTTACAGCGTTGCTGGTACTGGAAAATACTTTAATAATTGTCATTATACGAAAGACAAGATACCTCCGTTCTCACACAGGAGCGCTTCTAATCAGTCAAACCTGTGCAGATATCGTGTTTTACGTCGCCTTGCAGTGTCAGTTTTACCCTAAAGAAGAATCCCAAAGTGATGCATACGGGAAGATGAAGGAAACATGTTATATTGTAAGCATGGGGCTTATAGGCGTGACCATCATTACGTTTGCAGCAATGAGCTGCAATCTGTACGTGGCTGTGTGCCACAGTAACTTCTATCGGAAACACATGAAAAGGTTGTATGTCATCCTGTTCATCATCATCTCATGGGTCGTGAACTTGAGTCTAGCTTTCACGAGACTGGCGAACTTCACGACCAGAACCAATCAGAAATCTGGTGACATCATCCTCGTGTATTTGCCCACCGAAGCGTGGTCGTGGATTATGTGCGATATTGCCGTGTACGGATTACCCCCCTTTGTGAACGCGTTCTGTTACATCAAAATCTGGAAATATGTGAGAAAGATACAACCTATCCCTAATTCGAACATTAATTTATACGAAAAGGTGAAGGTTACCAAATTCACTAGCGGGACCTGCCTGTGTTACATCTTGGCGAGCGTTTTCAGCCACACATTCCGTGTGTTGTATGGAACATTCGAGCCGTGGCCAGAATACGTCGGGCCATTCCGAATCTTGTGGTTGTCTTTCAGCTCATTTCTGTTCGTATATCACTTCCTCAAGATTGTGATATACATGTTTTTGTATCAGCCATTCCTACATACCATTTCTCTCATGTGCCGGAAGGACAGGGACGAGTCTCGGGAATGAACGCACCCCTCTACACAAACTATAAACAATGGGAGCTTGAGAAGTGACATTACATCCACATGAACGAATATCTCAATTTACTGTGTCGCCTTGGTGTTGACTGTTCGGTAGTTGCCGGCTTGTTGTACGACTGACTGACTGACTGAGTTTGGTTTTACGCCGCTTTTAGCAATATTCCAGCAACATCACGGCGGGGGACACCAGAAATGGGCTTCACACATTGTACCCATATGGGGATTCGAACCCGGGTCTTCGGCGTGACGTGCCAACGGCTTGTTATAGGAAGTAAGAAATGTAAGAGTTGAAACAGTATCGATTTATTGTTCATGCAATGCCAACTAAACACTTCATTGATATCTCTGTTTCCCGCCAGCAACCACTGCTAACAATTTACAACCACGAATACCCTGTCTCTAATCACTGTTACCAAGACTTCAACCTCCTGTGGTTACCATGACTACAATGAAATATTTGAAAAGAAAAACAAATTTAAACAAAAGTGATGTTTGGTGTCTTGCTATGTCTAACCCGTGAATATCCGGGTTGGAGCTGATCCTCAGCAACCAATGTTGTTGAAGAAGGCGACTAATGGGATAGGGTGGCCAGGATCCACAAATTGACACGTGTCATCGTGTACCAATTGATCACGTACATGATGTCAATTACTGGACTACTGTCATACAGCTGAACAATCCTTTATATTTCAGGAAAGTCAACCCCATAGTTTTAGAAGATCCGTGTTATATATGATCTTCAGCAACCCATGCATGTTCGTTGGTTGGTTGGTTGTTTAACTCCACACTCAGCAGTATATCAGCTTTATGGCGGCAGTCTGTAAATAATCGAGTCTGGACCAGACAATCCAGTGACCAACATCATGAGCATCGATCTACGCTATTGGGATATGATGACATGTGTCAACCAAGTCAGCGAGCCTGACAACCCGATCCAATTAGTCGCCTCTTATGATAAGCATGGGTTACTGAAGATCAATTCTAACCCGGATCTTCATGGGTCCAGTAATTATGCATTCCCTAAAATGGCAATGGATCTGTAAGAAGCAAGAATTGCCACCTGTACTCCCCAATGTTAACTCCATTACATCATAATCTGATATTCTTAGGCCCGATTTCAGCCACATGTGAGAAAGTCATCATATTTTCGTTAATACTGTTTGTTAATGTTTCTTTGGTAATTTAAGTAGATCTCTTTACAAGTTTGATGAAATTATTAATTTAGTTCATTTACTTTGGTTCCTGTTTTCTGTGGAAAATTCCAAATGTTAGCAAGACAGTTGGAAGTATAGTTGTAATAAAGTTGGGATTTAAAACAAAATCACACCGGAAAGGACAATATATACCAAGAGAGGGCTTTCTGATTTTGCCAGCATTTGAAATCACTTTAGTATCAGACATGAAGGTACATTTCTTTCTGGTCAATAATTCATCACTTGTTAGTACCTACGTCGAAACGTCGCACTCATTGCAATAAAGAAGTTGAATATCCATAGAACTTGGTTTTCCTTCATCTATACAACTTCTAAAATGCCTCTCAAAGAAATAATTCTTTAATCTTGCATTGAATGGTTTTGTTTGTGGTTGTCTTTTAACGCTGGACTCCAATATTCCAGCTAGATGATGGAGGTCTGTAAATAATCAGTCCAGGCTTGTCATAAGAGTCGGGATCGGGTGGTCAGGCTCGCTCACTTGGTTGACTCATGTCATCATATCCCAATAGCGTAGATCGATGCTCATGCTGTTGGTCACTGGATTGTCTGGTTCAAACTCGATTATTTACAGACCGCTGCCATGTGGCTGGAATATTGCTGAGTATTGCGTTAAACCAACCAACCAGTATAATTACTGTACCCAACCGCATAAGAATTACGAGGCTGTTTTTGCCAGTTTACTGAATCACTTATCACATCTCTCTTTCTTTGGGAAATATTAATAACATGTTTATTTTGTGTATTCGCTGAATTACAGAACTCCTGTTCACAAGTCGCATGTAATGTAATGCTCATCATAAATTGTAACCGTGTAATGTGAATAACAAATTCGTGCTTTTGAACTTAGTGCTGTTACATGTTCTCTTTTTTAAATGACAGTGAAATGAATATATATGTCTTTGAAATAAAACTCGATTTCGATTTTGTGTTTGAAATGTTTATTAAAGCAGACTTGTTCTCGTCACTCTATGGCTGGAAAAATGCCCTGAAGCCCAACTCAACTCATTACTGGGAAGTGTTTACACAATTATGTTTTTGACATGCCCATCAAGACATGACTAATTTACATCAAGTACATTTCCCACTCAGTGATTGAAGTGGTGGATGGTGGTGGAATTGGGTTTAACGTCGTGCTTGAGAATATTTCGCTCATATGACGACGTGCATGCGTGTGTATGTGTATGTGCGGCTGCTTGTACTAGCCCAGACTGAAGCTGGGTTTATAGTGCTAGCCCACTGAGATACCATGCCGCAGTGAAGCATGAATACCCCACTCAGACACATTATACTGACTCCGAGCCGACCAGTCCTTGATGTACCCATTAATGCCGAGCGCCAGGCAGGGACCAACAAGTACCATATTTTAACGTCTTTTGGTATGACGCAGTCGGGGCCGAACCCGCGACCTTCCGCACTCCGGGCGGACGCTCTAACCACTACACCACGGAGGCGGTCCTCAGTGATTGAAGGGACGGTAGGGTACCTAGCCTAGTGGCTAAAGCAGTTGCTGGTCACTAAAACCACGTTTAGCAATATTCCAGCAATGTCACGGCGGGGGACACCAGAACTGGGCTTCACACATTGCACCCATGTGGGGAATCGAACCCGGCTCTTCCGCCTGACGAGCAACAGCTTTAACCACTAGGCTACCCCACCGCCCCTTCAAGATATAGAGTTACCTCCATCAGCATATACTGGTCTCATACCATGTATATTACAAAGAGGTGTGAGATAAATGCAAAGAAGAATTATTTCCGCAGGAAATATTGTTTAAATTGTTTGTAAATTATTCTCAGTTAATAAAACAACAATAATAATAATTGCAGCTTTGATGCTCATTTTATTTGTATCACTTTGTGTCCCTGAGATTCAGGTTGATCCAGTATGATGTCTTCCATACACGATTCAGTAGGTACATCTAACCTCCACCCCAAGGTCTGGAACACACCGATTTGCACACCGACCTGATAACCTGTGTCACGTGACAGAAGGAAGTCGGGTGAATTTCAGCACTGAGAGGAACTCGGGGCCAGATCGACGACTTTTCACCACAACCATTTGAAAGCCATTCTTCTTCATAATATCCTCGATTTCATCTGAAAAATTGTCGTTGAGTGGTGTAATGTTATAGTTCAAGTAAACAATAGTTACCATATTTTCTTGAGAATAGTGCGCACCCATGGTCAGTGCCACTGCCCCACTAGAGAATTCAGGATATTGAAAAACAATGAGTATTATGTATGTGCAGAAAAATACATCACAACCATTCAGCAAATTCATGTGTAAACAAACATGTATTTACAACCTTAGCCTTTACAACTGAAACTGATATAAAATAACACTAGACACAATTTTTTTTTCTGCTAGGCATTGGCATTTAAAATTATGCAGAGATGGTAATTACCAGTTTCATGTTCTTGCAAACGAGTCCATATTGCCCCAGTCTAAGTAAACTTAGGCTCGGTATTATTCGTTACACTGCTATCGGGGGTGGATACAGCTTTTGTGAGAAGGGGTGTGGGTGTGTGTGTTTGTGAGAAAAGGGGATAAATTTACACTTTCGGTTTCATGGGTCAATATAAAAAACTTTCACACTCGGACAAAAGGGGTTGCACACTTGTGACTGCACACACCCATCCACCACCCTACCACCCACAGAAGGGGTGGGGGTGCACACCACCCACCACCCACACACTTCATTCTCACTTGTTTTCACCCATATAATAAACTTTCAGGACAACCACCTACCACACCACTGCACACCCCCTCTGGATCCGCCCTATGGCTATACTGAGTCTAACAAACCCTAGCAGACTATTCTGATTGGTTATTGTAAAATGAACTGTCCAATCGTAAATAGTTTAACATAATTACCATAATACCTTAAACACCTCAAACTGATGACAAGAGAACCTGTCTTATATTAAAAATATTGACTGTTAGCGGTAAAAACATCTACCAGACTACCGGACAGGCTACTTTTGAAATTTGACTGTCCTAACGCTGCTGTATGCCCACTGTCTTCACATGGTATTCACATGTTGGTATGATGAACAAGGGACAGAACTCTATGGGTACACAACTTCTTCTTTAAAATGACTGCAACATTGTTATCAAGCAAGTGAATTGCTGGACAATGGTGTTAGTATCTACACTGAAACATCAAGCTGATTATGAGAAAGATGAACAGCCATGGAATTATCTCCCTTGAATACACCCACTGACAAATATTATTCAAAGTAGTATGTTTGTTCAAGCCTATCATCACCTTGATTATTTTCCTTGATAATGACAAGGTAGAAGACACCCTCTGGTGACAAGATCGATGAAACCAAGGGAAATAACCTGTCCACGACCTCCGGCCTCTGATACCTCCTGCCCATGATGCCTCAATGCCTGTGCTCCCCACCTATGTACAAGGAACAGTGATGATAGAGATAAATTCAGAACTCTGAAACAGGATACTTGTCTGTTTGTCCCAAGTGAACCTCAACAAACTTTGACTGACTGTCCACTCCAAAGTAAGTGCTGGTTCTTTAACCAATCAGATGTCATCTTTCAAAACAAATCATTTTTGGGTTGGTCTTTACTGCTTCGCTGGCTATTTTGATCTTTGCATTAGATAAACTGACCAGATATGTTCTTGCAATAGAATAAAGATATAGATGCTCAGAAATGTCACTGCACAGACATGGTATTTGGAGCAAAATATCTGTTTGTATTTCCATTGGAGAAACACTATTAAAATCGAGAAAAATTACAGTAGGTCAGTCAAGTTTGGAAACATTTATCACAAATAGTGCACAGCAATGTCAGGCAAGAATAGTTAAAACAATATTATAGTTAGAATGCATAGAATTGTCATTAGAACCCGCATGTTAACAGAAATGAGCGCGCCTCTGTAACTTGATAATGCCCCAAAATTGCTTGACGACAGGCCATTATCATGCCCGTTGTTAGGTGATGTCATAAGGAGCTCAGCTCTTGATGTTCAATCACCTACGGCTCGTTTGAACTTGGGTTTAATATTGACGATATTTCTGACTCACATTGGTCACATGTACCTGTGCCATTATGCACTTTCTTACCTGTGCCAACCTTAACAATTGTACCATACATTACAGCATGCAGCAATGAAAACATCGACTGGAACTCTAACCTTGTTGAGCATTGAAAAATTGGCGGCTGGTAGCATGTGCAAGGTCAAGGTCGAATGTCGTCAGTCTCAATAGTTTGCTTGTCATATGGAGAGTTGACAGCAACACCCTACCTCTTTACAGAGTCAGTACCTACGGAGAGTTGACAGCAACACCCTACCTACCTCCTGACTAGGCGTGACTACGTATGGTGGGTTGAAGAGCAACACATCAATGCAACCTGAGAGGCGAGATGATAGACAGTTCACCTGTAAGAGTAATAGACTCTTCACAATATTTAGTGAAATATTTCGCAAGAAAATGACAATGCCACTACTTTTAAATTATGTTTTGGGTATCTTGGGGTTTCAATGCCAAAAATAATCAATGACTTCCTAAATAAAATATTTATAAAAACCAATATGCATTTTAAATCCAGCCAAAGTCCATGTTTATTCTAAGGCTGTCAAGCCAATATTCCAGCTCTGATAAGTAAATGGTATCTTAATAATCATGTCCCATAACCACCAGAGTGCATGTTTGCTTCAAGAACAGAGTGCTAAATGCACAAATAATCTTCCCAATATTATTAAAGTAAGCTTCTTCTCTTTTTCATGTCCCGCCTCTGTTAAGATCCACCACATGTGGTTCCCTGTATTTGATGGACCACCACAACATACCAGATCTGTGATGACAGGCTCCACTGTGACCGAGTTCCTGTTGGCTGTGTCCCTCGTGATGCAAGCTGCCTTCACATTGATATCTGTGCTCCTGCAACAGCAAGACACCATTCGGTCTAAGGGAGGTAACCCATGTTATTATGTTACTGAACACACCGAGCTATGATAAAATTATGTTATGTTCAGTGATTTATGGCATATTGGTTGATCTGGGATATTGAAAGACATTCTTGAAATGTTAGGCCTTGGTGAAAAGCTCACCCCTCAAAATATAAATACTGATAAATACAGAAACCATAAATTCTGTATGGGGCAGCATATTTCGTTGAGCCTGAGGAGCATAGTTTGATTGAGTGTTGCTCTACTGACTGAGTTTAGTTTTACGCCGCTTTTAGCAATATTCCAGCAACATCACGGCAGGGGACACCAGAAATGGGCTTCACACATTGCTCATGTGGGGATTCGAACCCGGGTCTTCGGCGTGACGAGCCAAGGCTTTAACCATTAGGTTACCCCACCGTCCCGTGTTGCCCTACACTGATGGCATGGATTGTTGATCATAATATTAATCACTACATTATTTACATGTGTAATACTTCTGAGCATGGTGCTATACAACAAACAATAGGACAATTATAGTTTCCATTCTGAATGTATACTTTCTTGATGCTTGAGTGCTCTAAGGTTCTTACTGTTTCCTGCCTCCTATCATCGACTCAGTACAGGTTTTTCATTGCATATCCGGGTAAATTGACTGGATGGCAATTTTTAAATTGTTTGCATTTAAAATGACAACAAATGCGTCAAATATACTGGACATGATATCATAAGTGAGTGAGTAAGTTTGGATTTACGCTGCTTTTTGCAATATTCCAGCAATATGATGACAGCGGACACCAGAAATGGGTTTCACATATTGTACCCATGTAGGGAATCGAACCAGGGTTCTCGGCATGAAGAGTGAATGCTTTAACTACTAGGCTACCCCACCTCCCCTTAACTGAGGGGCGACCGCCTCCGTGGTGTAGTGGTTAGAGCGTCCACCCGGAGAGCAGAAGGTCGCGGGTTCGATACCAAAAGACGTTAAAATATGGTACTTGTTGGTCCCTGCCTGGCGCTTGGCATTAATGGGTACAACAAGGACTGGTCGGCTCAGAGTCAGTATGATGTGTCTGAGTGGGGTATTCATGCTTCACTGCGGCATGGTATCTCAGTGGGATAGCACTATAAAACCAGCTTCAGTCTGGGCTAGTACAAGCAGCCGCACATACACATACACACACGTCGTCATATGAGCGAAATATTCTCAAGCATGACGTTAAACCCAATTCCACCACCACCACCACTTAACTGAGGGAGGGAGGGAGTGAGGTAGGATTTATGTTGCTTATTCCAGCAATATCACTACAAGTGACAGATCTGGGGTCTGAAGCCAACAGAGGAAGGTGTATCTAACAGATGCAAGTTAAGGAGCCTTTGGCCATGTTGACCACTGGGCCTTTGTACTGTGAATGAAGGCAGCTGTAGACTCACATATACACACTAGTGGGTCCCAGTATCCTGGCAAGGAAGGTAATGCAGACTCCGGATCCAGAACCAATCTCCAGGCACACTGTTGGTCTAAAATCTCAATAACTTGAAATACATTCTGTTTCAAAATTTAGATTTCTAAATTCCACCCTTAAAACAATCCAGTGTGGTAAAATGCATTAATATTAATACCATTTCTGGCTGAATTCATATCAACAAATTAAACTGGATAAAAACAATGTGTACACAGCTGATTGCTATTTCCGGATTAGTTGAATAACAGGCAGCATAACAGGAACAAAAATGTGAATTATCACGTCTAGTGATGTTTGATTGCAACTTTCCTATTATCATTTACAAAGTTTGTTTGTTTGTTCAACCCGGATGATATGACATGGTTTTGAGTGGGCACAATGCACGACATGGCAGCTATGCTATGTCCGTTGAAAATACGATTTTATTTGGCCCTTATACCATGTCATGTATAACACGGGTGTCTCATAACGCGGGGGTCATCCATGGACCCCAAGACTTGTGTTATGGCGAAGGATGACTGTATATGGTTTAGCATAGAAAACATATTAGGCCTTGTCTGTGAAAAACATATGCTTACACACACATATTTACAACTCCTTCCCACAGAGGGGATCCATTGACACAGATGCTGATATGTTACCACATGTATTTTAGAAATCAGTTTTGAATATACATTTGAGGAAAATAATTAACTGTCTTCCACTACAGTTGGAGATTGTACGGTTAATAACATGTCTTTGGTATGAACTATGAGCTCAGGGTGACTGGTTTAATTACACTTCATCACAGACTGAACTGGCCTGCTACTGCAGTTTAGGACCTGCGTGACCCTTGATAGTAAATTATAATAGCAATGTACCACAACAGACATAAACAAGGCCTAGATTAATTATACTCAGCTGTGGTTTGTGTACCTCAGCTTAGCAAGGAAGCCATGTTCTTGCTCCAGGGCATCAAGGAACAGGAATGAATCTTCTGCAGGCTCGTAGACATGATTGTAATCTGAGCTGCCCAAGTGACCCAAGTCTGGGGTGGAAAACATGCCAGACATGCTGGAAACAGGTACATGGAATGAGTCTTGTTTTGAATAACTACAAGATATTCTGATATACAATTGGAAGAATTATTACTCATTTAAATGTTTCAGTGTGAATAAATCTAAATGTAACAAAGCCAATAATTCTGTGAAAATCATACGAAATTTCTGTGACCTTCAAAGAGTCCATAAAACAATTGTTGTCAATTACTGTAAAGTAATGAACGTAATGCATATTGTTATGGACAGAATAAATGTTGTAGTATGGACGCATTTTAAATGTGAACATGTACAGTAACACTTTCTAGTAGATTTGATCGAAATTGTATCACTTGTAACTTGTGATTAAATAACATCGTTACTGTCAAATCGCCACTACACCCAGACGACAATAATGCAAATAATATTTGCCAAGTCACAGTGATCGACTCGAACACCTCCAACACTAGCACAAGTAATCAAACTAACCTGTAGTGGGCGGTAGTAGGAGTCTATGACTGCCTTGAGGTCTATCTAAAGAACTCGACTCTTAGACACAACTCTCATCGGTCGATGAAGTATCATCTCAAACACATTTACCCTTTACGTCAATGGCATGTGTAATTCAATCACAGATCACAGGTGAATCTGACACCGCACATGCTGACTTTCACATGTCGCTGTTTACCCACGAGCGAGATTGAGAGTTATTTCCCTTTGCAATGACATTAAACTGGTAGCGTATATATGTTGCGAAAAGCACTTTCCCAGTCACCGTAGGCTACAAGGAAGTGGATGGAAACAAGTTGGTCACCAGTGATCCAGCCTCAAACTATTTTCACATTTGTCATTTGTCATTCACCGAATACAAATAAGGATGAACGATTTTATCCGTATCTTATAACTGAAAAAGAAACGGCCTCAGTTCGAGACGGGTGAAAACATCTCGTCAAGAGATATCAGTATTGTCTTACAAAGAAGATCTATCCTACTTCTTTTTGCCATCATATGAACTTAATATTACATTGATATTTGTCGGGTTTTGTATTCACGAAAATTAAGGGTCTTTGGATATAGGTACCCATAAAATAACGGGTCATTATAAATTAAGTGCGAGTGAATGTAAGACTCTCTTCGTCATGAACAGAATCTGAAAATTATTCCTTTACTCAGCACCAGATTGATGTCTATCAAAGTATACAACATTAAAGTGTACATTTTTTACATGGGAATCTGGTCCGGAGAGTCACAGATAATTTTGTATTACAACAGATTATAGTCAGTGAAATAGATTGAAATAGTGAAATGTCGTGACAACAGGAACTATTTATGTATATGACGGTTAAAGAAAACGGGCATCAAACTGTAAATAAGACATATCTAACTGCGCATGTTTCGTTAAAGTGTACAAGTCGTCAGTATATACATTATTTTAAGTTGTATAAGAATGTATATATGAATACACAATGCCATTTAGAAAGTGGTCAAATGGAAAGCGTTCAGCCACCGCGACTTCCACAAAATGGATATCGGACAACTGGTAGTCAGGACCACGGACTTTGTATACCCCTCTGATAAGTTTAAATTGGCTCGGCTCCCACGCCCGAAAGCTATAAATACACAATGTCATTTAGAAAGTGGTCAAAAGTAACATGTTATATTTGGGATTATACTTTCTCAGTTGCGGTGGCTGAGCGGGTTAGACGTCTGACTTTGTGTGCTGGCGATTAGGTGCCTGGTTTGGGTTCGAATCCTGGATGGTACTCAACCCAACAAAAGTAATAGCATCTGTACTATACTGAGAAAGTGTAATCCCAAATATAACATCATGTTATAAGAATATGTATAGTTTTCTTCATATTTTCATACTCGGGTATACATATAACATATGTTATATACTCATGCCAATAATGGTTGTCACCCCCTTCAATTTTTTTTTATTGGAGAGGGGGTGGGGGCTGGGGACGGGGTGACAACCATTATTGGCATGAGTATATATGTTATAAATCAGGCACCTAATCTCCAGCACACAAAGTCAGACGCCTACCCGCCCAGCCACCGCGGCATCGGGTATACATAGTGGGCACAATGGGATTGATGGTTTTTTAAAACATCATACTTATTCATAGTAATATTCGTTTTATTTTAACAGAATGACGTCAATACTTAATAATACCCAAGCCAGCAATAACAGATACAGACTGGTCATTTAATCATTAACATAATATTACTCATCCTCAATAATCTCCAGGGTATACGTTACGATCACTCTTTCACTATAGTGGAGAGTGATCGTAACGTATACCCTGGAGATTATCGAGGATGAATATTACACAAAGATACGATATCAGTAACATATGGTGCAGTATAATAATGCAATAACATTCTGCCTACTCTGTTATCAGCCTACCCAACGGGTACATACAAAACACGCTGTGTAGTGGTGGTAACCGTAAATGAGGGGGGGGGACACAACAATTCTACAACGATTTTGTACTGACATGCTACAAGGGACATCTGTGCTTGATAAACTGAGCACTTCCATGTTCGAATCAAGGTGATGTGCTGAAAGTGAATGAAGCGCGTGTAAAATATCGTATATTTACAACACTGTGGAGGCACGAAATATGCGTTGAAACTGATTACAAGGGTTTGAGAGTGAAGTGATTGAGATAGAATGTCAAGTCGCACCGGCAGTTTCTCAGCCATGTATAGACAGGATCATTTATACATTTTATATAACCCAACAACATGCCCGAGAAATACAATATAAAGTGGTTGAATAAAAAACCCAGACACAACACAAAATTCGGATTATTGATCACCATCCAGTCTGTCTCACAATCATTGAACTACATTATTTTCCCTTTGTGCAATGCAAAAAAAATATTAAATAAAGTACTCTAGAATTCCTCGGGTTCTCACTGGGGCTCCTTTTCAATTTAATTTAATTCAGAGACTGTCTCAAGCAACCACAGGCAGACCACAAAACGGATGGATCATGGGGTCTTACAGTATATTAACTAACCGCATTTTCACAAACATTTTCACATTTTTCCGAAAATATAAACAAACAGTTATTCCTCGAATTAAACAGTGGTAGATATTTAAGAATATATACTTTGAAAGATGGGGCCTTGCAGTTCAAAATAGATTTTAGTCTGTTTTCATTATTTTATTATTTGCTTTCAGGCTACAATTGGTGTATGGTGGTACTTCTTGGTAAGAGTATTTTACCTTGACCTGTCTCAAGTCAAGTCAAAAAAGTTTATTGTATTTAAGGCCACCACATACAAATATTCATATGTTAATAATATACAAATACTATACAATACACAAATAATATACAACATACAAATACTATACAGTATGCAGATAAAAATACAATATATAATGTACAATACACATAATGGAGAGAACAAAATGACAGGCAACTGTAAAATTTCGTTTTAGAGTTTAAACTTTTTAACAGTTCATTTCCTAGTCTCATACTATGTTTGATAAATAGTGACAGACATTAAGGATGTAAAAGCCGGAGAACCTGTGCAAAGAACCAGGGGAAATTAATCAAAACGCTATTGCCGTGTCATAGTGTATTATAATGTTTCTTTCTCGGTCTTTTGTGAACGTTAATTTCTTTTTAGATATTTGCGAAACGATGTAAGTCTTTTTGTAGGATCTTTGATTAGTTTTGTAACTAGAATCCCTCAATCAATAGTTGGATATACGTTACAGAGGTCGTTCTATCCACTACACCACGGAGGTGGCCTGTTATCTCAAACCTGGCCAGAGTAAAGAACATGTCCTGCCATTTTTGTTTATCGATTTCGCTCAAAACAAAATTCATTAAACTATTACGTATGCACATTATTGCGGCTGTGGCATTATAGTGTTATGAATGTTTTATATACACATGCGCACTCAAGAAGTATACTTGCTTGTTTGTTGTTGTTTTTTGTTAGGGATTTATATCATTATTTTGCACACTTGTGAATCGAGGAGATCAATATATGAAGCCAGGTCGTTCTGATTGGAGGGACACAGTGTTTACCTATTCGTCTGAAGTGACCATGGAAGTGGGTGTGGTCAGACCTTCAAGTAGAATTAAGGCTATCGAATTGGGAGTTTACGATATGTTGTTAATGACACTGGAACGTATCAAAAACACTTATCTGTCGTAAGAAGCGAAAGGACCGACTATCGCAAGATCTGACCCGGCTGATAGTGTTTGGCTCAACCTTGTTGATATATGCTCATATCATCGACCACTGGATGCGGGACCAGGACACAGTTATTTAATCCCACTCTGGATCGGTGCTGACAATGACTGACAACTATATCTATTCACTTCTAACACAAGTATGATCATCTAACAGCAGTATATGGTCCTCTAACACAGTATATGATCCTCTAACATGATCCTCTAACACCAGTATATGATCCTCTAACATGATCCTCTAACACCAGTATATGATCCTCTAACATGATCCTCTAACACCAGTATATGATCCTCTAACACCAGTATTATCCTCTAACACCAGTATATGATCCTCTAACACCAGTATATGGTCCTCTAACACCAGTATATGATCCTCTAACACTAGTATATGATCCTCTAACAGCAGTATATGTCCTCAAACACGTGTATATGATGCTCTAACACCAGTATATGGTCCTCTAACACCAGTATATGGTCCTCTAACACCAGTATATGATCCTCTAACACTAGTATATGATCCTCTAACAGCAGTATATGTCCTCAAACACCAGTATATGATCCTCTAACACCAGTATATGATCCTCTAACACCAGTATATGATCCTCTAACACCAGTATATGGTCCTCTAACACCAGTATATGGTCCTCTAACACCAGTATATGATCCTCTAACACCAGTATATGATCCTCTAACACCAGTATATGATCCTCTAGCAGCGGTATGGTCCACTAATACCCGTATATGGTCCTCTAACACCAGTATATGGTCCTCTAACACCAGTATGACCCTCTAACACAAGTATATGAACCTCTAACACCAGTATATGGTCCTCTAACACCAGTATGATCCTCTAACACAAGTATATGAACACCAGTATATGGTCCTCTAACAGCAGTATACACCAGTATATGATCCTCTAACACCAGTATATGGTCCTCTAACAGCAGTATATGATCCTCTAACACCAGTATATGGTCCTCTAACACCAGTATATGATCCTCTAACAGGTCTACTAACACAGTATATGATCCTCTAACACCAGTATATAGATCCTCTAACACCCGTATATGATCCTCTAACACCAGTATATGATCCTATAACACATGGATATGATCCTCTAACACCAGGATATGATCCTCTAACGCCAGGATATGATTCTAACACCAGTATATGATCCTCTAACACCAGTATATGATCATACGCCTCAGTATATGATCCTCTAACACCCAGTATATGATCCTCTAACACACCAGTATATGGTCCTCTAACACCAGTATATGATCCTCTAACACCAGTATATGATCCTCTAACACCAGTCCTCTAACACCAGTATATATATCCTCTAACACCAGTATATGATCCTCTAACACCAGTATATGATCCTCTAACACCAGTATATGATCCTCTAACACCAGTATATGGTCCTCTAACACCAGTATATGATCCTCTAACACCAGTATGATCATCTAACACAAGTATATGATCCTCTAACACCAGTATGTGATCCTCTAACACAAGTATATGATCCTCTAACACAAGTATATGATCCTCTAACACAAGTATATGATCCTCTAACAGCAGTATACGATCCTCTAACACCAGGATATGATCCTCTAACACCAGGATATGATCCTCTAACGCCAGGATATGATTCTAACACCAGTATATGGTCCTCTAACACCTGTCTATGATCCTCTCACACCCGTATATAGTCCTCTAACACCAGTATATGGTCCTCTAACACCCATATATTGTCCTCTAACACCAGTATATGATCCTCTAACACCAGTATATGATCCTCTAACAGCAGTATGGTCCACTAACACCTCATATATGATCCACTAACACCAGTATACGATCCTCTAACACTAGTATATGGTCCTCTAACACCCGTATATGATCCTCTAACACCCGTATATGATTATAACACATGGATATGATCCTCTAACACCAGGATATGATCCTCTAACGCCAGGATATGATTCTAACACCAGTATATGATCCTCTAACACCTGTCTATGATCCCCTAACACCCGTATATAGTCCTCTAACACCTGTCTATGATCCTCTAACACCCATATATTGTCCTCTAACACCAGTATATGATCCTCTAACACCTGTCTATGATCCTCTAATAGCAGTATGGTCCACTAACACCCGTATATGATCCTCTAACACCAGTATATGGTCCTCTAACACCCGTATATGATCCTCTAACACACGTATGATTCTAACACCAGGATATGATCTTCTAACACCAGGATATGATCCTCTAACGCCAGGATATGATTCTAACACCAGTATATGATCCTCTAACACCTGTCTATGATCCTCTAACACCCGTATATAGTCCTCTAACACCAGTATATGGTCCTCTAACACCCATATATTGTCCTCTTACACCAGTATATGATCCTCTAACACCAGTATAAGATCCTCTAACAGCAGTATGGTCCACTTACACCCGTATATGATCCTCTAACACCAGTATACGATCCTCTAACACTAGTATATGGTCCTCTAACACCCGTATATGATTCTAACACATGGATATGATCCTCTAACACCAGGATATGATCCTCTAACGCCAGGATATGATTCTAACACAAGTATATGATCCTCTAACACCTGTCTATGATCCTCTAACACCCGTATATAGTCCTCTAACACCTGTCTATGATCCTCTAACAACCCATATATTGTCCTCTAACACCCGTATATTATTATTATAGGATATTTATATAGCGCACTAGTGCATGCTCAAGGTGCTGGTATATTTTCCCTCGATCATTGGATGTCAATCTCAACGGCACATCGCATTATCAATCTCAACTCCCTGGGGAGTATACAACTCTTGCAGCCACTAGGCGCACCGAGTTATTGTGGCTTTCTCATCCTAACGAGGTACCCATTCACAGCTGGGTGGACTGGGACACATAGTCACAGTACTTTGTCCATGTTCACTGCACGTTGCTGTAATCGCAACTAGGTGTTTGCACGTATTCATGTGGCCACCATCTGGTCAAATACCAACGGATTCGTGGGTTCTTTTAAATGCACAGGGTTGTGTACTGTACACTAGGGGTTGTGACAACACTGAAAGAGTCTGCACACAAAGGTGACTCCAAGGTTATTACACCCGGTCACAGGTGGGCTCGATCCAGACACCTCAACCTCGCTGGATCACTAGCCTGGCGCCTTTGCCAGCTCGCCCACCGCGCCCCAGTCCTCTAACACCAGTATACGGTCCTCTAACAGCAGTATATTGTCCTCTAACACCTGTATATGGTCCTCTAACACCAGTGTACGGTCCTCTAACACCAGTAAATGGTCCTCTAACACCTGTATATGGTCCTCTAACACCAGTATATGATTCTAACACCAGTATATGATCCTCTAACACCAGTAAATGGTCCTCTAACACCTGTATATGGTCCTCTAACACCAGTATATGATTCTAACACCAGTATATGATCCTCTAACACCTGTTTATGATCCTCTAACACCAGTATATGGTCCTCTAACACCCGTATATGGTCCTCTAACACCAGTATATGATTCTAACACAAGTATATGATCCTTTAACACCAGTATATGGCCCTCTAACACCAGTATATGGTATATGGCCCTCTAACACCCGTATATGATCCTCTAACACCAGTAAATGACCTCTAACAGCAGTATATTGTCCTCTACAACCACTATATGATTCTGTAGGTCCTTCTGCCCACCCATCACTTCAGAGCCTAGGCTGTCATACACACCCGTGAAACAAATATATCCAAGAAAGCCCATGCAAGTCTAGAATATGTGGCCAGTCCAGATTACCACAGTTTTAGAAAAAGAAGAAATCTGTGGACCCTTGTCAATATAGTTAATACAAATGATTTAGGAAACATTTTCCCTGTAAAATATGTTTCATTTCCAATGTAAGTCTATTCAGTGCCCTGCAGAAGAAGCAGAGCGCAACCCGTGGATCATCTCTTCACTTGATGAAACACCATGACGTACGCGCAGTCAAACCACAATTCGCTCAACGCGTGAATCACATCTGTCGGCAGTTAATGTTGACAAGTGCTGAACAGTTTACTTCAAAACAAAAAGACTGACAAGCCTTAAAACTTCAGATGAACATTCACTTTTTTGTAGTCTAATAATAGCACAAATATAGGACACAAAATAGGACACAAGTGTTTTGGTTAATTTCCAACGTCAGAGGTCAATAACAACAACAACTACTACTACTACTACTACTACTATTACTACTACTACTACTACTACTACTACTACTACTACTACTACTACTACTACTACTACTACTACTTCAACCCCAACTACAACCACTACCGCTGCAACTACCACATCTACTAGTAGGACTACTTCTACTGCCACCTCCACCACAGCTACTACCAGTTCAACCTCACCGCTACTAACACTACTATTACTACTACCACTACCGCCATCGCCACAGCTACTGTTAATACTACTCCCAAGACAACAAATACTATACCCGCCACAACCATTTCTACTACAACTTCCAGACACCATATAATAAATTAATATAATTATAATATGGTCTTTACTACTACTACTACTACTACTACTACTACTACTACTACTACTACTACTACTACTACTATAACTAGGTCGAAAACATCAAATCGCATTAGTATCTCGTGCATGACTAGCAAACAAAGAAGAAAAGGCTAGGGATGAATGGCCACAATAACCGAATGGGGAGGGCATGGCTATCCCTAGACTTGCACAAGTATTTAAGCCAATAATTAATGATCTAAATGAAAAATTCTAACAAAATATAAATAACAGACTTGCGCCCTGTCCGCTTTTCTAGACTTGCCTTTTTAAGGATAGGACTACTATACATTCATGGGTGTAGCCTTCAGTACAGCCTTGTAGCAAGGCTAGGCTACACCCTGTCCCCACATGTAGCCCATAGATGTGGATGAGGCTAGTTATAGCACAGATGACCCCTCGCTATGTGGCCTTGGCCTGCTCACGCCACACCAACCTGTTTACAACCGTCCCTGATGTTTAAATACATCTCGGTTTGTTTGGCATAGTTTCTTGATGTGGGTAATTTCCTCAATGTAACAGGCTACAAGGTTTGAGACGTTGCCGATGAGTCATCGAATTATATATCAGTCACACAGAAACCCAACATCTTAAACTGCTTTTACACTTCTAACATTCTCATGTCTTAAAAGGGCAAACATGTTTAGTATAACGTATTTGTGTAAAAAAAACATATTCGGGACTTTACTTAATTTTGTTATGTATTTTTCTGGGTTTCTATGTGTACATCAAATTTTAGTCTCTTGACGAATAAAATATGGCCGGGGTAGCCTTGTGGTTAAAGCGACCGCTCGTCATGCCGAAAGCGTAGGTTTGATTTTCCCCATATGGGTACAACGGAGCCGCTATAGAATATGTTCGCTAACCCTAACCCTAACCCTGACTATTAGAGAAAAGGATTATTGGTAAACATGGTAAAATAAGGTGGCGCACATATACTATAATCGCACCCATTTTCTGTTGTCACCGCTCTGGTATTATTGGAATATGTCTAAAAGCATGGTTTAACCACACTCACTCTTCCTTACCGCTTCACGTTTGGATGTGTCTGAAACCATTGGAACAATCAAAATGAAACTTTGGTCAATTGGTGGGCTCTTCCGAAAATTCCACCTCAGTGTTTACCTATCAATGACATGACATGTGCAAAATCGGAATCAGGATCAAAAACAACATTTTAAGTTTAAAGGTTGTATCTTAACAATATACTTGTAAAAGGGGCGGAAACGGAGGCACCAAAACAAGGAATATCTTAGAACTTACCTTGCTTGGAGGTTGTGGAATCAAAATGGCGAGTTTCTGTCAAAGTTATATACTTTCAGAGATTTAGCGTTAGTCTACCCCAAAACATGGGTCGGGTGGAAGGGGCTGAAAACTGAAAAAGATAGCCTTGCTCCAAGGTTATAGTGAATGCTAATCCCATGGATGTATAGTAATTCTATCCTTAAAGAGACAACTCTAGATAAGCGGACACTACAAGGACGCCAGTGTGTTAGAGGGACAATATGTTCTTTTTACTTATATTGTTTTAAAAGTATTAATTATTACCTTTTAAAAGACTTGTGTAAGTCAAGGTAAAAGCCTGGAAAAACAAGTTCCGATGCTGTTTATTCTCGTGGTCAACTTTACAGCCGCAGAGAGAACAAAGGTCAATGCCAGGCAAAGCACTTATATTTTCCCTGTCCAGTTACAAGTCTATTACCAGGAACCAGGATAGAAACCTCGTGTATAGAATAAACGGAACTAAGTTAAATTACAAGAGATAAGAGATAAAGAGATGAAATATTTATTGTGCAAACGTTCCATACAGAAACAGTGACAATATTCTATAAACTACATAAACAAGATGTATAATGAATCATATATATATGATGAGTAACAAAACATATAATAATACAAATGTGTATTATAATTATAATGGCCTAGGACAATCAGATCTTCTATATTTGTTTAAAGTTGTACATGTGGTAGCAAATAATTTCTATACTATTAGGATCATTATTTCTAAAAAGGAGCTTAACTTTATCAATGATAGTAAGGCCAAGAACGTTATTAATTTTAGAGGAAAGGGAGTTAAATAAGGACTTTCTTGCATCTGAATAATTAGTACAACACATGAAATGGTGTTCTTCATCCTCAACGACAGAGCATTTATCACAGAGACGGTCCTCCAAAGGTGTAGGTGGTCTTGTTCTTCTACCCAGTTCAATTTTTAGCCTGTGATCACTCAGTCAGTTTTGTGAAGTGGATACGGTGTTTTTTCATCTTGCAGTGTTGCAGATATGGTTCAAAGTTGATTTCAGATTTAAATTTTCTATATGTTCTAAGTTTGTTCCTTGAATTTAATGTGTTTGGATTAATCTTGAACAGATGAGTGGAACATGTCTGTAAATTTCAATTGGAGGTCCTTCAGTACAGAGGAGGAAGTAAGATTACTTTCCTTGATGTTAACCTTATCTAAGAGGCAACTGAGTTTATAGTACCATCCAATTTTGTGTTTGGCAATCTTTATTGATTCATTAAAAGCATGTTGGTATAACACTTTTGTAACTCTGGGCATGCAATGCAAGAATTCGGTTCATGATTCCCGTGGTTTGGGGTATACATAAGACTGACATTAAGCCCCAGAAATAAAGTTGTCTTATGTAAAATATGTACATACAAAACAAATGGAGCCCAGAACAATCTTCTAGAAGCTAGAGCTGAGGCAATCTGGACTTTCCAAATCATTCTAGACTTGAGTAGATGTATCTACAAAAATACGGAGCCCAGAGTAAGCCTAAATTTCAGATCTAGAGTTGAGGCAATCTTGATTGCCAAATAGTTCTACACTTGAGTACATGTATCTACAAAAATACGGAGCCCAGGAAGCCCAGAGATAGAGCCTCTGGACTTTCCAAATCATTCAGATCTAGAGTTAAGGCAATCTAGACTTGCCAAATAGTTCTAGACTTGAGTACATGTATCTACAAAAATACGGAGCCCAGAGTAACCCTTAATTTCAGATCTAGAGTTGCGGCAATCTTGATTGCCAAATAATTCTAGACCTGAGTTGGGCTCCTATTTGATTTCTTCTCTAGAGTCTGGTAGACAGACTTGGTATACATTCTAGATAATCGATACAGGAAAACAAGGCTGGCATGTAAGAAAAATGCCAATGATGTCCGTGCCTGCTCAACAATTATCTCTGACGTGTTACTCGGGAACAAAACTGCGGGGAAGTAGAAAGTATACGCCCATGTTTGATGGGGCATACTGTAAAACATGGAGTGGATTCTTGGAGTTGGGCCTTGGAGTGGAGTCTCGGAATGGAGTCTTAATGTAAATATTTAGGCGACCGAGTTTGTTTTGTTTTGATCATAAGGGTAGCTAAACCAGCACATTCGTTTCAACATCTGTAGCTGGTTTGTGTTATCAGTTTTATCAGAAGGCAGGAGGCATTTTGTATACACGTATCGGTTAGCCCTGTCAACTCCAGAAATGTCATTCTGTAACAGTACCATGTTAACTACCGGTCCTGTTCTGGGGCTGTGCTGCCATCAAGAAGAAATGTATATGAATAGATGGAAGGATGGATGAATGGAGAAGCATGGAAATTATTTACAACCTATAAACAAAATATTAATAATGGCATTATTTATTAGCCACAAACGACATATATAGCATTGTCACATGTAATTGCAAATTGTGTAGAGGAAGCCGTAGTAAGGGATAAAGTATGTAAATTAGGTCTATGCTATGACATACTAATCATCAGGAAATATATTACTATTGCATGAATTATTTATTTCTTACTTAACAAAGAAATTGATTACAGAAGATAGATAGCACTATGTTATTCAAGAACTGGATATTTTGTCAGTGGTGGCAAAAGTAACTGTTCCAATGTCATAATTGTTTTGAGTTTGTTTTTTCAAAACTAGCCATCTCTCTGCATCCTTGAACTTACAAACAAAAAGCAAAAATAAATGCAGCAGAATATTTTGCAAACTGACTGTTAGTGAGTTTCATCAGCTCTCTGGGGCTTCGAAAATCTTGACTTTCGGTCAGGTTATGTATGGGCAGTCCACTGGAATGTGACAGATTAGAGGAAACACATCACTGATACAATCTGCCCTCAGAATGGCAGAGAGCTAAACCAGTGCTACTGAGGATTGCCATGTAAACAATTTCACAATCTCGATTACGTTGCTGTCTACAAATGAAATATAATTGCACAGAGTTCGAATTTGTGACGATTTATTAATAAGTTTGGAGTAAACTGGCAAGCATTAACAAACATTTCTACGAGAGCTGTAAACAAGAAAGACTAATCTCTAAGATGAGTAAGATAGATATTTATTGCATAGCATACCTTGAAGGGACATCGGCAATATCGTATAAACTACACATATAATATATAGTGATAATATATTTGTAGAAACTTTAGGTATTCTAGCATATCTATTAATTTGTAGTACTTTTGAAACCGATGATTCCGGAGGTATAAATGACAACTGGGAAGTGCCATTAATGGCATATTCTAAACAGTAATCAGTATTTACAGAAGTGGCAAGTGCACTTATACTCCAGACTCCATACTCCAGACTCCGCTCCAAGACTCCACTCCATATTTTACAGTATGCCGTTTGATGGTGGCTGAATAAGAAGCAAACAGGAAATAGTTATTCGATCGTGATGTATTTGATACGGTGTCATGGTTGTTGTTCTTGGACCTTACGTTTGGAGCGTTTCGGCGATTGTTTTCAGTCGAGGAACGTTTTGACAACATTTGTAATTTATTTTCTTTTATAATGTAAGAATATTTTTTTTTCCGTTCCCAAGTTTGTTTCTACGTGAATATCGGTATCGATCTAGTAGTATGCGTGACACCAGTATGTCCTATATGTATGATTTATTAAGGCATAAAATCTTACACTGTTTTACTAAACAAACACGGCCACTCAGACTAGTACAAAATCTTTACGTTCCACAACAAAATGGTAGAAGGGACTGGCAAAAAAATCAATTTTGCTAATCAGCTAACCGTCGGACGGAAGCGGGATCTATATCGGAAGATAATTAAATGCTCGTACGTTTGATGCTAAATTCAATTATCCATTTCCAAAGCCCGGCTCCGGCTGACAGTCCGAATCAGCTTGAAAGTGAAGAGCGTGACGCTGCTACCCTCTCCATTCCTTTTCCAATTCCCTTTAGAGCGCGTGCATCGCGAAACCAAGGAAACCTATGTCACGTATATGTTACTTAGCTGTCAATCAAACTCCGGAATATCTGATTTGAGTGACAGCACGCCCAACCCTCGCGCCCTCGTCAGTCGAGGTCTACACTGTCTGCTCCTCGAAACGCGTTTTTCAAAATAACTTTGGCCAGAGCAGCAGGGAATTTGCCGATAGTGCTGGCCATTTCCATCAACCGCTTTGTTAAAGTCCCGATTAATTTGTAAAGCTTTTCTGTGGCAGGCCTTTCAAGTACCAGTGCGATTCTGTATGTCGAACGCATGACTAATTTGTCATATATGATTAAAAACATTTAGCTCTGCCGGTGTGCGTTCCTCTCTGGAAATTATCTTGACATTTCGGTTGGCATGTTGGCGTAGGGGTGTCAGGATATGGATATTTTATTCGATTTCTTTTATTGATGAGATCTCGCCTTGTCAGACGTGTCAGGACTTTCTATGTGTGTGTTTGTTTAAATATGCAATAGATTTTGTCGATGGATGTAGACACCCGATGCTGGTTTTGAAGATATACACCGACCTGACACTCCCCAAGAAAACAATGGTTTCGACCTGTCAAAACTACCATGTGAGTTGAGTGTGTTACCAGCACACTCGGCCAATACAGCCGTCATGCGGTACGAAGCATTTCTACACGAGACTCTTCGCCCGGGAAGTTTAGATTTGTCTACGCACAAAACCAACTCGAGCTGCCATCGGGTGATTTATTTGCCGTGTAATCTGAGCTTCGATGCCGATGTGTGTATGAGTTTGGTGAACGCCAGTTGTATCTGGAAGGGCAGGAGTTTCCTACAATAGATTATCACAACGCGTAAACCAACCCCTTGACATTTTAGATCACGCTGGGAGAAAAATAGAGTTTTCTTTACACAAATGCGACTTGGTCTTACTCCATCATTTACAACGGGAAGAGTTCCACCCACTTCAAATCGCCTTTTAGCAGTTTCTGTTGACGGATTTACGAGCAACAATAAACCAGCAGACGATTACTTTTTATCCCAGGCCGCCAACTGAGCGAAGGAACTAAATCATTGTTAACAAGGCTGCAAAACGATGGCACATCCTTCCAGCACGATTTGTGAGTTGATTTTTACAACTTTAACATTCTGTAATTGATGTACATCTGTGTTAAAGCTTAGTAAATAACTCAGGTATATCGCATGACTGTGAAATATGACTATATAACCTATGGCCGATACGATTGTAAGTTTTTGTATAACACTGTTGCTATGAATCGTACGTTTTGACACCATGCTGTTTCTGTTTATACTGTAATAGTTCCTTAAAACATTTGGAAATTTTGTTGACACTGCCAAATGACTTCACCTAAAAGTATCATGGACAGTGGCATACACGGCTTTCAATTTGAGAACATCGAACGGAAAGTTTAGATTTTATCTTTCTGCTGTGATGTTAAACAAGTATTTTGATTAATAAATCGCTTGTCTGTTGTCGTATTGTTATCATCGGCAACACCAGTGTTGTGTAGAATGTTTATATTACGTGAAACATCGTTCAGGGGAGCAGTGGGGAGCGTTGCCAGCAGACGACACTACCTGTTACGGATATTTCATAACGATAGATTGTAAGCATATGAAAGTATGAACCTCGTTAAGCGAAATCCTTTTCATGTTCTACTGTTACATATACCATGTCGCTGACTTATGAACGTTTTGATACAGAAATTACACTCTCAGTAACAAATGTTAACTCTCTGTTTCAGAGCAGACGACAACTCGAGAATCCCCGACCGGGTTGCGGAGCGCGCCAAACCGAGCGCGAAGCGTAAATCAAAGCTAACGAGGATATAATACCAGGGCCCTCAAGACACAGTTTCAACACTGCGTGAGCCGCCGTCAGATATACTGTTTATTGAGCTGCAAGGTGGGACTTTGGCAATTCTCTTGACACCAAGTATGAGGGCCGGCGTGGCGGTAGCGAGCCTCTCACTCTTGTTGTGTGGGGGTGTGCTGTTGTCTTTCCTGACCCTTACTAAGGACACAGAAAGACTCAGGTAATATTCCATTGTATTCTTCATGTGTTTGATTGGTTGTGTTATTGTACCGTGATTTCCTCCGTATGACAAGAATTCAGTTCTGCCGTGTCAACTGTTTTAAGGGTTCCTTGGTGATGTGGTATCCATTTATATCACATGAGGGGGTGTTAGAAAAAGGATAAAAACAGAAGTTATGTTTGACAGGCGCAGTCAACAACTAAGTAATTAGTTGTATGCATTTGTATGGCATAAGGGTGTGTGAAGAAAAGGAATGGTCCCATGATAAAAACATAATATGTATTTGACAGGCGCAATCAACAACTTAGTATGGCTGGTAATTACATTACGACATTGAAGCAAAAGAGAAACCACTATTTGACATGTCTCTTCTCTTGCCATCTTTGTGATGACAAAACTTGGTTCCAGTGAAAATATTCCAAACTAAGTAATGTGGGGGTGATGATTTTAATGGGTTATATCTTACATCTTTCCTCTTATCTTTAATATGCAGAACCCTTACTCCATATTGTAAATACCTCCTTGAAACATGCCTCACAATAACTCTTTCACCTTCCGGCCTTTAACTTGAAAGTTTTACCCTGTAAGTATCTTTTGTCAGATGCTCAGACAGTTTGATTCTCTTGAAAGATGACTCTATATAGTCCAAAAACACTGAAATTGGGGTGGGTTAACTTTTTTGATACCCTGACAGTGGCAGATCCAGGGGTGTGTGTGTGTTCTCTCTCTCTCCTCTCTCTCTCTCTGTGTGATCTCTCTCTCTCTCTCTCTCTCTCTCTCTCTCTCTCTCTCTCTCTCTCTCTCTCTCTCTCTCTCTCTCTCTCTCTCTCTCTCTCTCTCTCTCCTGAAAATGACTTACGATGACATTGAAGATTTATTTTTGGCGTTGGAACCCCCTGAACCCCCTCCTTTCAAAATTCCTGGATCCGCCAATGCCTGAAACGGTTATGAGTATATATCCTATAATACCGGTAGCTCATCATGAAGCAAACCTAAGAAAGCACCACATTGGGACCTTGGTGAGGCAAAGTTCTCAGTGCACTAATGCCTGTGATGCTTGTGTTAGAAGGTGACTAGACGAACAACTAGTCTCAGAAATGAACATATTTTACAGAAAAAATGCTCAAAGTGAAAAAAAAAATATAATGAAAAGGAGCCCTGAGACTATATTCATTTTCAGATCTAGACTTGCCACATTTTCTAGACTTGCATGGGATTTGTTGGATATATTTACTTCAGGGTCTGTATGACAGACTAGAAGGTGACTAAATGGATTGGGTGGGCAGTCACATGGCGTTCATTGTGTATTAGCATTGTCCTACCATGTCCTACCTCATTGTCGTACCATGTCCTACCACATTGTCCTACCATCTATTGTCTTACCATGTCCTACCACATTGTCATTGTCCTACCATGTCCTACCACATTGTCCTACCATATTGTCTTACATTGTCCTACCATGTCCTACCACATTGTCCTACCATGTCCTACCACATTGTCCTACCATGTCCTACCACAATGTCCTACCATGTCCTACCACATTTCTGAATGTCTGTTGAACCAGTACTTCTGTATTGACAAGCTTTATTTTGATAAAGCTGAAATAATGCTCACCGCTGGTCACAAAAACAATAGAGAAACAGTATTCCTTTACACAAGTGAGTAAGTTGGGTGAATGTTGCTTTAAACAATATTAGAGCTTTTCCTGGGTATGTTGCCTGAATGTAGGTGGGAAGTGAAATTAGTTGAAGTGAAATGGGTTTAAGTGTTGTGTTGAAGATTAGTGGCCTCACACAGCAATGTGTTTGAGGTGTGTGGCAGCTGGTACTGGTCCACACTAATGGCAGCTGTATAGTGCTAACACAAACCATGCTTACCCCACTCAGACACACTATAGAGTCCAAGACGACCAGTCTTTCTTTATTCTTTTAGTCCTTTTTGACACCTTTTTTGTGATGGTGATTGAACTTACCAATCTTTCCAGTCTGTCCGCTGGACTTATAAATGCATATATCTACCTGTATGAAGGCAATGTGTATGTACTACAAACTACCTGACTTGATGTTGTCACTTCCTACAAGAAACCTTACACCACCCATATGTGCATGAGTAACCCATGTGGTAGGGTTGATGGTCATTTATTTACCACTACGATGCACTGATTAGTGTTGTGAATTGGTTGAAAGCTCACAATTGATAATTGGTTCATTACAATGAGCAATCATCGAAAAAATTGGTTAGCGTCATTTTTCAGATTTTCCTATTCAGGTTGTTATTGCAGATAAGTATTACATGGTTCTCTGTTATTTTTGTTTTGTTTATTTGAGAAACTGTGCAAATTGCATTTGCAAACTTCACATCCAATGTAAAATGATAAACCTTGCTACTTTAAAGTGATGACTTATATATCATGAGCATAAACTTCCTGGAGTCTTCAATTAGTATTCAGTCATGACTTTTCAGAAAGTGAAGAGAGTTTTCTAAGAATTAAACACATTTTCAGGCCCTAACAACTTCTAATATATGTTCCATCGTCAAGTGTTTCAATATCCTCTTAAGCGTCATGCCTGAAGTAGAGACTTGTATCACGTCTATCCGACAGAGCTGGATCATGTTTATCACTTTTGTGACACCTGGGCACAGGTGTGAACATACAGCAGCATGGGGCTGGCTATATCAGTATAGCCTAGTGGACGTTAATATTGGGCTGTTGTTACATGGTTAGAACAAGACATCATCTTTGTTGATGTCATAATATGATGCTTGTAAGTGGTTAATATAAAGACTTGGGTCATACATGTTAAGTGCATAATATAGGGCTTGTAAGTTGTTAACATCAAGACTTGGGGCTTGTTAGCATCATAATATGATGGTGGTAACAGGTTAACATCAAGACTAGGCTTGTTAACATCATAATATGAAGGTGCTAAGAGGTTGACATCAAGACTAGGCTTGTTAACATCATAATATGAAGGTGCTAAGAGGTTGACATCAAGACTGGGCTTGTTAACATCATAATATGAAGGTGGTAAGAGGTTGACATCAAGACTGGGCTTGTTAACATCATAATATGATGGTGGTAAGAGGTTGACATCAAGACTGGTCTTGTTAACATCATAATATGATGGTGGTAAGAGGTTGACATCAAGACTGGGCTTGTTAACATAATATGATGGTGGTAAGAGGTTGACATCAAGACTGGGCTTGTTAACATCATAATATGGTGGTGGTAAGAGGTTGACATCAAGACTGGGCTTGTTAACATCATAATATGATGGTGGTAAGAGGTTGACATCAAGACTGGGCTTGTTAACATCATAATATGATGGTGGTAAGAGGTTGACATCAAGACTGGGCTTGTTAGCATCATAATATGATGGTGGTAAGAGGTTGACATCACGACTGGGCTTGTTAACATCATAATATGATGGTGGTTAGCATCAAGATTGGGGGCTTGTTAACATCATAAAAAAGGTTGGTAAGGGGTTAACATCAAGAGTTTGGGCTTGTTTACATCAGAAAACAGGGCTCACAAGCTGCTTACATCAAGACACTATGCTTGTTAACATCATGATATGGGTCTTGTAAGTGGTTTACATGCTGACTCAGGCTGGTTGACGTACTGGTACTAGTCGACATCCTGGTGTAGGGTTAGCTGACATCAGCACGTTGCAAGTGTCAGTCTTTGACAGGTAAAGTGACAGGAGTGATCCCCAACCTCTCGTACAAGAAGCAAATATTTGATCAAGTATCATGTGTGCTTAGCTTCAACGCCCAAACAAAACTCAAGTCTGCTCACACAGTTGTTAGACCTGTAGAAAATGTCAACACAAGGAAGTGCCTGCTTCGTTTCCACGAGTTTCACAAGAGCTTTCGTCATGGTTTGTGTAACCTTTGTCTTAAGTCGCGAGCGCCAGAAATGTGAGGATGAATCTGTAGTGTTGTGTATTAATCTTACCTGTCAATGTTAAGAGAAGGTATGTATGTTTTATGAATTAGGGATAATGCATATGTCAGTTAACTTGTCAGTGTGTTCCCTTCACTGCAGACATTAAGAATCATAACAAGTTTGGCGCAGCCTTGTGTTGCATTGACAAGCTGTTTGCTTGATGAAGGATATCTGTACCCTGACACAAGGAGAGTATCCCCTGTTAGCACTGTAGGCCATCTGTAGGCCCTTCCCCTGTGAGATATGTAGGCCTTCAGTCTAGCCTTTTCCGTGTTAGATCTACACCTGTGAGATCTGAAGGCCTTCAGTCTACCTATCATCCCTGTTAGATCTGTAGGCCTTTAGTCTAGCCTCATCCCTGTTACAGTTGTGGTTTTTGCCAGTATCGAGTCAATCAGGCTATGTTTTGAAAGTCAGTTGAGGTTTTTGCCAGTATCGAGTCAGTCAGGCGATGTTTTGAAAGTCAGTTGAGGTTTTTGCCAGTATCGAGTCAATCAGGTGATGTTTTGAAAGTCAGTTGAGGTTTTTGCCAGTATCGAGTCAATCAGGTGATGTTTTGAAAGTCAGTTGAGGTTTTTGCCAGTATCGAGTCAGTAAGGCGATGTTTTGAAAGTCAGTTGAGGTTTTTGCCAGTATCGAGTCAGTCAGGTGATATTTTGAAAGTCAGTTGAGGTTTTTGCCAGTATCGAGTCAGTAAGGCGATGTTTTGAAAGTCAGTTGAGGTTTTTGCCAGTATCGAGTCAGTCAGGTGAAGTTTTGAAAGTCAGTTGAGGCTTTTGCCAGTATCGAGTCAGTGAGTCAATGTTTTGAAAGTCAGTTGAGGTTTTTGCCAGTATCGAGTCAATCAGGTTAGGTTTGGACAGTCAGTTTATGTTGTTGCATGTAGCAATGTTTTGAGTCACTGGAGGTTTATGTCTGTTATCTGAGTTGCACACTCAAACCTCTAAGGCCTACTTTGCCCACAAATCTACACAGGGAGCTGTCACTTGATGACTGGATCATGCCATGACTGTGTTATCTTCTTCCATAAGGCCCCCCAAAAATATATGTG